AAAGATTGTTTTTGTTTTGTAGGTTTGGGATGCAACAAATGGACTTCTAATCCATTCACTTGGACCTCATAAAGACGTCGTCAGATCTGTGTCCATTTCCAGGGATAATAATTACGTCTGCACAGGATGTGACGAAGGGACACTCAGGGTATCTATACAATGTTTATTTTTGTTGATCAGTCGATCAGTCAGTTGGTCATTCAGTCAGTCAGTCAGTCAATTAGTCAGTCAGTCAGTTGATAAGTTGGTTATTCAGCAAGTCGGTCGGTCAGTCATTCAGTCAGTTGTTCAGTCATTATTAGTTGGTTGGTTGGTCAGATGGGGAGTCAGTCAGTCAATCAATCTGGTAGAAATGATCTCCAACTAAATTCCATCCACTTATTGTCAATATTTTTATTGCATCTATTACATGAGAAGAGGGAGGGAGGGGGTATTAGGGATATTCCTACAGGTACTTCCTGCAAGTGCACACTTAATAATACATTTTTCAATCCAGATATGGGACATGAACAGTGGCAAAGAACTTGCTCATTGTCCAAAACAAGATGGCTGGATCTCTGACTGTCATTTCTCTCCAGATGGACAGACAGTTGTATCTGTGAGTGACAACTTACGGGTAAGTAGCACGCACACACTTCAGGTTAATGCATTTCTTCATAGAATACAGTAACTGTTTTCCCATTTCAGACCATGTCTCTACTCAAGAGAATGACACATGGTCTGAGATGGAAAACATTACTGAAGAAAGAAATAATATTCAAGGGAATGACATGTGGTCTGAGATGGGAAAACATTACTGAAGAAAGAAATAATATTAAAGGGAATGTCATGTGGTCTGAGATGGGAAAACATTACTGAAGAAAGAAATAATATTCAATGGAATGGCATGTGGTCTGAGATGGGAAAACATTACTGATGAAGAAAGAAATAATATTAAAGGGAATGAAATGTGGTCTGAGATGGGAAAACATTACTGATGAAGAAAGAAATAATATTCAAGGGAATGAAATGTGGTCCGAGATGGGAAAACATTACTGATGAAGAAAGAAATAATGTTCAAGGGAATGTCATGTGGTCTGAGATGGGAAAACATTACTGATGAAGAAAGAATTAATATTCAAGGGAATGTCATGTGGACTGAGATGGGAAAACACTACTGATGAAAGAAATAATACTCAAGGGAATGACATGTGGTCTGAGATGGGAAAACATTACTGATAAAGAAAGAAATGATACTCAAGGAAATGACATGTGATCTGAGATGGGAAAACAGTGCTGATGAAGAAAGAGATAATATTCAAGGGAATGACATGTGTTAACTTTCCATTATTTTTCATTTCCAGTGGTGGAGCACCGACGCTGTTCTAAAAAAACAAGAGTTTTTCATCAAAGGAGGTTTTGCTAAGGACATTCGCTTTTCAGAAGACTTTAAAACTTTTGTTATGGTGGATGACACTTCAACACTCTTCATACTAAAACAAATACATTAATTGGAACTACCTAACCATAAAGTATTTCAAGCCTTGATATTCAAGGTTTACTGCAGTATTCTATTAACTCAGTAGTTGCAAGCTGCACACTGAAATTTGGTTTTTCACTGTTGTCAATCAAAAATAATCAGTTGGTACCTTATATATTTAAAACTGGCGACAGTGAAAAACCAATTTCAGGACGAGCCATTAAAATGTTGAAGATCACAGAATATCAAAAACCGTAGCAACAATGGACATTGCCACTCCTTTTATTGCTAAGCAGTGATCAAGACAACAGTTGCAACAGGGAAAATGGGCAATACAAATTTGTGTAGGAAATTGCTCAATCTCGAGTACAGTTCAAAAATTCATAGGTACGAGTGATGTTTTAAAAGTTTTCAAAATTAGATGAGCCTTTTGTAGAAAAGTTCAATTTGAAATATTCCAAAACATCACGAGTATCTATAAGTTCCAAATTGTATGAGAGGATCGTGCGTTTTTTCTTAAATAATACACTTAACAAAATTGAGCAACTTAATTGGGACTCTACAGAGTACAATTTGGGATTTAATTGTACTCCTTTTGTCCAATCAGAATAGAGTAATTTTGTAGTGTATTATAAGTTCAGGTATGGAATCTTTATCACGCCATGCCATGTTTATTCTCATGAGAATTTTTTTGTTAAACAATGAATAACGTCATTCTGAAGCGCCTTGCCGTGCTGGAAAAGAATCTTCACAAAATAGACTATAATTTTCAATCATTTCATACAAGGCTCGTAATTTACCTATTATGCATGTTCTTATACAGTCAATGTCATTAACGTTGTCCAGCGAAAAAAGACATTTACACATTTACGCATTTAGACTAAAAGAAATATCACGTTTCCTTGAACGTTCTGGCATAAAATGCTGGAATACCATTCTCCATCTTAAATCCTCTCTAAATGGTCGGGGCATTCTGGATTTTCGATTGACTAGTTGAATTTTACATTTAAAGTTCAGGCTGACGCACACGAGGCAAAGAATACATAATGAAACACGTTATATTTCTTTTAGTCTAAATGTCTTTTTTTGGTGGACAACGTTAATGACATTGACTGTTTAAATTTCACATATTATGAAGTCACAAGATCTGCCAGTTTGAACAGATGTAAAAACAAAAATCTAAATTATAAATAGAAATTCAATTACTCTAATTTTTTGTAGATAAGCCCTCGAAATCTCTTAGTGATATCTTTTGAATTATTAGATAGTTCCTAGAGAATATTATAATCATTAAATATGCCAATTTTTGTGTGCCAAGTTCTGAGTTTCTGTTGAACTACAATGGACTTTATTTGTAGTAGTGCAGTGCTTTTTCATTTCAGACCATGCGTCGGGTATCACTTCTTCGGTTAACAGTTGCGCATGAATATGGATACAACTCAAACGAAGAATCTTAGGACCTGTCTATACTATGCCGGATAAATTTGAATCCGAATTTTTATTTATTTAGTTAAGCCTATTGTCCACACTAGTCTGGGCGAATCCGGAACAATTCTTCACCGAAAATGAATTTTCGAAATGGAACCGAATAAATAAAAATTCGGATTCAAATTTATCAGGCATAGTGTGAACGGGGCCTTGTTCTCAAGACCATGTGTCATTCCCTAGAGTATCATTTCTTTGTTTAACAGTGGTACATGAGAAGACACATGAATATGGATACAACTCAAACAAAGAATCTTATTCTCAAGACCACGTGTCATTCCCTAGAATATCATTTCTTTGTTTAACGGTTGAGCATGAAAAGACACATGAATATATGGATACAACTCAAACAAAGAATCTTATTCTCAAGAGAATTAATGATGCATGGTCTGTAATGGGAAAACATAACTTGACAAATTAGGGTCTACTGTATTTTACCACCAGCTTGCTGTAAATCCTCCAGGCATGCACCGATTTGTCAAGTTAATTTTTTCAGCTGAACCCTACAAAACTGAGAACAATTTATTCTATCCCACATGACCACACAAAGAAGAAAATACTATTTGATTCAAGATTAGAGTATTTTATTAGCTTATTCACAGATGAATCATTCTACTGTGGGGCACCAAATCCACCACCACCACCACCACGACCACGACCAAATCCTCCTCTCTGGAAACAAAATAATATTATCTCAATACTGTTGAAAAAGGCCTATTGGGTTACAATATTGGTTACAATATTGGAATGTTTATTGGTCAGCTCCTGTGACGTTTTTATACGGTCTACACTTCCAGAATGCCTTTCGGTAGCTCTCTTGCTATGCTAATTTTCATCATTGTTTTTGTATCCTCAAAAGGCCTAACATAGCCCTGTTTACACGAAACCGGATATTTTTTTATCCGGGTAAAAAGAATGTGCGTTTACATGTGGCTTCGTGTAAACGCTCATCATTTTCAACCATTTATGTAAAAACGGTCCATCAACTCGAAAACAATCATGGGAGCTAAATAAGCATGCACATAGTTCCCAAGCCTGCGATCTCCTTTGTTTAGTGACATCAACGTTTACGAAAATATCCGATTTGAAAATCATTTTCAAGAATAGCCGGCTAAACACCATCTCCGTGTAAACCGGAGGCCGAAACGGATAAAAAAATATGCGTTTACAAAAATATCTGGCTTTGTGTAAACAGGGCCTAAGAGACTTTGAAGAGGAGTCTTGTAGTATAGGTATGAAACGTCATTAGAGTTAGGATCTGTTGTCCTTATTTGCATAACGTAAACAACAATAATACTTACAAATTCAGGTTTGAAGTCCGTGCCTGGACCTCCCTTTGGGTCACCCCCTGGGGGGCCTCTCCTGTATGCGTCACGGTCAGAAGAATCTGGGCCACCTTGACGTGGTCCACCATCCATACCTTGAACAAGATTGAAAATATTATAAGATCATCAACATTTAGCCCTGAAACAACCTCTGGGCTAATCTAAGTCAGGGCATGGCTAACTCACAGATTGAACCCTGAAACAACCTCTGGGCTGATCTAAGTCAGGGCACGACTAACTCACAGATCACACCCTGAAACAACCTCTGGGCTGATCTAAGTCAGGACATGGCTAACTCACAGATTGAACCCTGAAACAACCTCTGGACTGATCTAAGTCCGGGCATGGCTAACTCACAGATTGAACCCTCAAACAACCTCTGGGCTGATCTAAGTCAGGGCATGGCTAACTCACAGATTGAACCCTGAAACAACCTCTGGACTGATCTAAGTCAGGGCTTGGCTAACTCACAGATTGAACCCTGAAACAACCTCTGGACTGATCTAAGTCAGGAATGGTCCTAATAAACTCTACTCATGTAAAAGTTGTGGCTGTATGTTAGATAACTTATGTCATGTATACAGCTTTATGTAATATTTCAATTACTTGAGAGAGTTCTTCCTCCGATTTCCAAACACCGAAAAGTGAGTTGAAAAAACGAGGCACAGCCGAGGTTTTTTAACTGACTTTGAGGTGTTTGGAAATCGGAGGAAGAACKCTCTCGAGTGTTTGATATTACTTCTAAAACTCATGAATATTTCTTGGAGAAAATCAAAGAAAAAGTTTATGAAATTTAATGCAAATTAAGAACACGTTTCCAAACCACCGTCAAAGTAGTGATTTGCTTTGTTTTCTCATTAAATATTCATGAGTATGAGAATTAATCTTAATCCTCTTGAAACAAAGTCATGACCATGTTTAGCCCAGGATATTGAGTCCAGAGGTGAGCATACAATAAATATAATACATAAGAGTCTGTGTGTTTACCTTTGGGTCGGGGTCTTGCTGTCTCGGCTCGAGAGACTTGTCGTCTGAGCGTGGCAGGGACGATTTCAGGGGGGAGATGAAGGTAATCCCTCAAATATGTAATACCTGTATGACAATGATAATAACATTACTAAATACCTTGGTTAAAAGGGTCAAAAGTGCGGCATTAAGGATATTAGGGAGAATTTCACATAGATACTACTCAAACAAAGAATCTTATTCTCAAGAATAGGTGTGGTTTAAAAGGGGTTAATATAATGCACAAGGTAAAGCGGTCTATAGATTCTAATTTAGTAAAACTATTTATCCAGAAGTATTTAGAAGTGTTTTACTCACATACCTTCATTGGTGAGGTACCAGTAGAAATGTTTCCAAGCAAACTGCTCCGACACGTAACCTCTGGACTTGAGGGACTAAATTATTAATTATACATAATATATTAATAGAGTACACTATTGTACACATTCCTTTAGAAGGTTGAGTACACGGAGAAAATCCTGGACCTCTCTCTGGTGTGTATAATGATGAATTATTCATACAGCACAGCTTACATCGCAATACCAAAAAATAATAAAACCGTTACAAACTATAGAAGGAGTCACAATAGATATTACATAAGATCAGGGTCTGGTTRTACGAAGGGTGGATAGTGCTATCTGTCAGATAAATCTTATCCAGTGTGGATACATTTATTGGATAACAGCATCGACTTATCCACTGGATAAGGATTTATCTATCGGATAGCGATATCCACGCTTCGTACAACCGGGCCCAGCATAAAATTATGTTACACTGGAGAAAAAACCTAAAAACCATTGAATCAAGGGAGATACYAAACAAGCACTGCTCACGTAATGCTGAGACCAGGAAYGCTGATATGAGTATACTCATATTGAAATATTATTATTATCATTAAATAGACACATTAGAGTGCATGTAGTCACACTGTTGAATAGTTAGATAAATTTACCTAACTTAGATAATATTATTTAGTTGACGTCACCTAAAATAATATATACACAACAAACCAATGGCCATACTTTACCAGAGAATGTGTGAAGAGACAGTTGATTACATCTTTATTTTCTCCCCYGATTTTCAAACTGTTGGCCCATGAATTTTCAATTTATGTGACGTTGACTATAATAGTAAAGGACTGATCTAATTTATGTGAGGTCAACTATTCACCAGTTAGACTAAATCCACTCTATCAACAACAACAACAACAACAACTAAGTAGCTATCATGGTTTGTATACCTGCATTGCTTTGCAGACATGAAGGTTTGGCACGTTTTCAATGCACATGTGTTTTGGGTTGTTAAAGTCCTTCTTTGCCACACAGACTCCCTCCTTGAAGAGGTACTCGTAGATAGCAACTCGATTCTTCTTCGGAATAAGCATGCTGTTGAACAGAAAGAACACAGCACTATTTGGTAAGCTAGAGTAAAATCGAAGGTAAGAAGAAAGAGAGAGAGAGAGGAGAGAGAGAGAAAGGAGAGAGAACAGAGTATATATTATTTAGTCATTTTCCTTCCAATTTCTCCTGCTGTTCCCAAAATAAGACTTCCAAATAACGATAAATATCCTAARCTAAAGCTCCTTAAAATACTACATCAATCGGATCCTAGATACTCGCTAAAAAAATAAAGTTCTCTGAAGAGAAGTTGATATAAATAGAGCAGACATTTTAAGTCCAAAATATCAAACGCYTTTATTCTCTAAGCAAAAAAATAAAACGCTAGAAGATTTATTCAATGTTTATTCTCATACTTTCCAAAGATTTCAAGCCGTTTTAAGTTAGGATGGTGAAGATTTTCAACAGATTTTACAACCTATTAACTTACTTTGCGAACCAAAGATGGCAACCACGAAAGAGACCGAACTGCGCATGTGCGTGGCAAATGTTCCTCGAAGGGACCACAGGAAGCCCAACTGTCAACAAACCGTATGTACGAATTCYGTGAAGTGAAATTTTTCAGGAAATGTTGTCRATATTTYGTATGAATAAATGATAAATAAAAGGGATTTTTAGCAGTAGAGTTGTTTTCATATGATACAGTGGCTTTTGATTCAATGAATTCCTTGGAATTTAGAAGTTGATTTTTTGTAGGTAGGAAAACTGCAGAAAAATTCTGAAAAAACATGAGTGACAGTTCCCTCTTTAAACCAATTTTTTTCCCTTCCACACATAATCCTCCCTTATAAATAGCTCCCCGGCCCTAACTAACTCCCAGTTATAAGCCTGTCAAAGAACCCTTATGAATAAGTCTAGGAGTTATAGCAGCATTTTTATACTCCTGTAAATAATACGTTGGGGCAGGGGCAGGTCCAGGGGAGGGGTGTAGGGGGTGCCCACCCCTCATTATTGTTTTGTATTGGTTGATAATGATTTATTGATAAATGTATATCTTAAAGAGTAGATAATACAGAGTTGTTTTCATATGATAGCGAAACATATGGTACAGAAAATGCATGGTACGACATGCGGTAACATTAATACAAAATTTTTTCCCCTTTGATTCTAAAGGGTGCACCCCTCCCTGGGTTAACTTTGTGTGCAGCACCCCTCCCTGAACAAAATCCTGGATCCGCCCCCGAGGGTGATGGGTGGTTAAGGGATAGATGGGGATGGGGCATGATGGTTGATTACCATCACTTTCATCACAAGCAGTTAGCAATCTCAAGTTGGAACAAGGCTCCTTCATGGTGCATTATGAGAAAGTAATGCATTGTATTAATGCCCTGGTTGAAGACTGTGCTATTAAGAATTATTGATAAAAGAGAGCACAGTTGCCGAGGCCATCTGTACACTCACAGCTTTAAAAAAAATTGAAAACTTTAACAACAAAAACCCAGGATTTGTCAATGTTACGTTCAGTGATACAGAACTTAGAAAACACCTAGAACTTCCAGTGTTTCATATCACTGAAGGGAACATTCAAAGAACCCGTTTTTCTTCGAACAAGAACAAGGACAAGACAGTGAATTTTTAATAACAGTAATCTTTATTACTAATGGTTAAAATAACTGGTTAAAAACTAAATGTACAGAGTTAAGCTTTTTTAAAAAGCTTTGACTACCTTGTTTTTATATCTTTTAGCTTTGTTAGTTCATCAATAGTCCCATTTTCTTATTCTATAATGTGAGTCTGCCGCAATTAACCACATGGACTCATTTTTATGGTTTAAGCTACTAGGTAATACATACATGTATATAAGTATTTTCACACAAGTGAATATAATAAATCCGGAGCACTCATTGGTTACAATTTACATCTTATGCTCCTATATTTACCTACAGTGAATACAGAGTGCATGTGCTCACCGGTTTGCCGATTTGTGTCACTTACAGAGATAAAAAACATTTGAGAAAGGGTAGCAAAACTCTCTCTCCGTTATTTATTAAATTCACTTGTGTTAAAAATACTAAAAGGATTATTCCCCTCAGGCTCAGTAAATATCGGGAAATATCTGATAATCACATTGCATAATAGTTATATATTCATGGGTGATCTATAGTGGGTCGTCATAAGACCAACAAACATCATACATGAATATTTACATACTACTTGTGAAATGGTCTACTATTTTTTTTTGAAACTGGAGTGAGTAACTGAGAAAATTCAGTATCAAGTTGAAAGCAAATAAGGATGATTTTGCAACCAATTTACATACTTCTCCTGGCCTGTGATTTCTATTGTTCTCGTTCACTCTCATTAATCATTTTTAACGAGGGCATTGTGTCTATGATTGGATTCGTTGGGCATGCTTTCCCATTCCAACCTCTTCGAAATAATAATTATTTGTCTTTGTTGCATCCATAATGGATTTTCTAGTCAACAAAGGAAATATTCCCAAGAGATCAATGTAACATGGTCTATAATCTATTGTATAAGGATCTATTGTTAGCTATAATCTAGGCTAAACCTGTATAAATGAAAATTTTCACCGTATATTGTTGTTTATAGAACAAGAAATAGGACTACTGGATAACTGTGGTTTTCGATATTCTGCGACCTCACTAGTTGCAAGCTGCCGTCAAAGCTGCCACTGAAATTAGATTTTTCGCTGCAGTCATTCTAAAATAATCAGTTGGTACTTTTTATATTCTTGATAGGCAGTAGTGAAAAAAACAATTTCACAACAAGCTGTTAAAATGACAGAGTTCGAAGAATTTTAGAAAACCACAGTAATATTATTTATATAAAGTATACACACACATACATATTATACCGATATTGTGCTAGGTTTTGTTGAAAGAAGACTAAAGAATGAAAGTTTCAGAGTCATGAAACTAGCTGAATAGTCTTTAGATCTGACACATCCAAAATCGCAGACTTCTATAATATCCTAATGTATAGAGATTTGGCACCATCACATGTCCACACCAATAGAACAGCTTAGGCTGGCTGTGGTTAGATGGCAGAACAATAAAATCCCTTTGCGCTCAGGAATAATCAAATTCTTTCTCATGTAAAATGATTGTATTGTTCCTGCCATCTAGCATGGCAGCCATCACGTGATGGTGCAAAACCTCTATTTTCACAAAGTGCACATTCTAGTTATCCTTCTCAGAGTTCACAATAAGGCTTGATACCTTAAAGATTATAATATAGACATCACATAAATCATAATAGTCTTAAGGTGTATATCAAGGAAATAAAATTATTTATTATATAATTACCAATGAAATATCTATTTTTCTCTATTTCGAAAAATTGATATCTTTACACGTGAATATAACATGTTATTTTCACATGTGAAAATAACACCATTGCGATGGCTATTCAAAAATACATGGAAAGAATTGCCTGAAAAAGCCAAAACATACTTCATTGTATATAACTATATATATAATTATATAATAAACAGAATATTACATGGCCGCTTGGAGATAGGAATCTTATATTCTCATGTTGAAAATCATATCTCCGCTCGTCCATGTAATATCCTCTATTTTCAAAATCACTTATATGTGTAAACAGTGTAGTAGTATGATTGCAGTATTTTTTTAAATATATTTTTTCCTTGATATATACTTTAAATATAAGTGTGTTATGTTCAATTGGAAGTGCTCACAAGCAAAACCAAATTTCAGAGCTAGCTCGCAGCTACATCTGAAATTTACATGTTTATGAAAAATAGCAGAAAGGCTTTCTACTGTCCACTATGGAGTGTTATCCTATTAGATATTTCTTTGCATTCAAAAAGTGCCAAACCTTTTGTCAGTGATTGTAGGTTCAACGTTATGATATTTGGCAAAAATTCTGGATTATTTGTAATCATTACAGAGATATAGATGTTTAATAGTATCTTAATGCATAGGTTAAGTATATTCACCAGCCTAATCTAAATCCGCTTCGAGGTTGAGGGAAAAACTTGGTTGTCATTGCAATGTATTGTGGGACTGTTTAGGGGATAAAATAGATGCCATCTTGGAAATACGGCCCCTAAAACAGTCCTAAAATGTACTACAATGCCATCTTGACCCAGTTTCTACCTCAACCTTGGAATAGGCCCTTTCAGTTCAAGGTCATGTGTCTGTACTAGTGAGCAAAATTTTATATTTTAAATTGGTGATTCTTTTAATCTACTTGTAAAGAACTGAATGAAACGATGTGTAACCAGTGTGTTACAAAATGCAGTTTTATTACAATCTCTCGAAACAGGTTGTAGAAAGTGTTTGCTCAACAGTATATTTCACCCATGGGAATCAAGATGTTCATTCATTTGCTCTCAGTGAATTAATCAGCACGTGATTGCTGAGCTGCAAGGGCCTATTGCTAAAACCACAGAAGTCAGAGTTTTTCAAAACTATTGACTTATAAAATGAGAACTGCATTTTTAACCATATTCTCTGATGACTAGTACATTAATCTATGATCCTGGAATACGGGAGTTGTGATTTTGGTAATGATGAAAACAGTGGTCATCTTTTTATTAACCAATTTTCTTTAGTTTCACAAGGTCAAGGTAATAAGTCAGAGAACAAGGAGCAAAGGAGTAAAGTGCAGGAGAGTATATTTCAGGGCTTTCAGAATCGGCTGACAGCTGCCAAGGCTCTTACCATTGCTTCAAAGTGAAGCTGGCTACTTTTTCTTTTCTATAAAATATCTTCTGTTCCTTGTGTTCGATCACAGCCAGCTACTTCTGACTTATGGCCATCTACTCTAAAACAATCTGAAAGCCCTGGTCTCTAAAAACATGTTAGTTAGTCTGAGGATCATTCACACCAAAGTGGTGAAAACCAGTCCATTAAAGCATATCATCTGTGCTTTGTATTAATGTTATTCAGTGCAACTTGTGATTAAACCTTTCTCACAATTAGTATAAAGTTTTTACTATATATCATGGCTTTTTCAGTGGATTGATCTTGTGACCACGAAACAATATCTATAAGTTGAGGTGGAAATTGTAAATATTTAACAATTGTTCACCGAAGACGAAGCGAATATCGGGGAATAATAACCGAAACGAAGTTGAGGTCATTATTCCCGATATTCACTGAGCCTGAGGTGAATAATTGTTTTAGTTTAAATACACAGTTGCATGATTCTTTCAAAAAAAGAAAAAAAAGAAGATAAAAGACATTTTATGGCTGGCCGCCATTTTGGATTATCGCTGGAGGTGATTACCGTGTGATAATCTGAGTTCCTCGACCAATCAGAGCACAAGATTTTCAATAATCACCTGTGTATTTATACTAAATATGTCTAACCTCGACTTGTAGACATTGTTTTGTGGTCACTCAAGCGAATTCAGGAAAGCTCTATCGGTAGTCCATACACTCTTGAGAATACATCTTGGAATATTCAATTTTTGAATGTTGCGATTACTCTTACTTATGATATGCACTTTTTCCATAAAACATACTAGTAAATATTTTGACTATGCTAATAAATTGAAAACCTTTTACTACTTATTAAAAATATGGTTACCATGGATATATGTTTGTTTCAAAAAGAGGTTTTCATATGAGTGGGAAAGACAATACAACAAAAATTGAAGCTGTAATGCATCTTACACATGTCGTAATAAACCTTTTTTGAATTCGTGAAAAAACTGCTCTGTTCCTTGATGATAGATTCGTTTACTCACGGTTAGCGTTTTAATGTCTGAATATTCATAAATACCAACGGGAAAGTAAAGAATGCACAACTTCCGCAATACAAACTCTTCGAAATTCAACAGATCTTAACTGGAACACATGAATATTCTGCACAAAATTGAGGCTGAGAAAATAAATCCATAGTCAATCAAAATAGCAGTACTTTAAGAATTCGAAAAAGTATTATGTACAATGTACATACATTCCACTCATACAAAAACATCTCCATACTGTGTTATGATAGTGTCGTTACATTAAAGATAACAATGATAACTGCTATGAAGAGAAGGAGTTAAAAAATTTTAATATATATTATATTTTTGGACACTAGAATGCTAGATCAACATTATATGAAATGGAAAACCCTAAATCGTTAGAAATTTTCAAGATTATGATATATTACGTTCGTTCGTTAGAATATTACTATAAAATCCTATTTTTCCAATAAATTTATATCTCAGGATAAATCAAAAATGTGTAAACACCCCAAATTCATATTTGATAAATCTGTGAGTTAGCCGTGCCCTGACTTAGATCAGTCCAGAGGTTATTCCAGGGTTCAATCTGTGAGTTAGCCATACCCCGACTTAGATCAGCCCAGAGGTTGTTACAGAGTTCAATCTGTGAGTTAACCATGCCCTGACTTAGATCAGCCCAGAGCTTATTTCAGGGTTTGATCTGTGAGTTAGCCATGCCCTGACTTAGATCAGCCCAGAGGTTATTTCAGGTTTGATCTGTGAGTAAGCCATACTCTGACTTAGATCAGCCCAGAGGTTGTTTCAGGGTTCAATCTGTGAGTTAGCCATGCCCTGACTTAGATCAGCCCAGAGGTTGTTACAGGGTTTAATCTGTGAGTTAGCCATACCCTGACTTAGATCAACCCAGAGGTTATTTCAGGGTTTGATCTGTGAGTTAGCCATGCCCTGACATAGATCAGCCCAGAGGTTATTTCAGTGTTTGATCTGTGAGTTAGTAACTTGGGATAATAGACACACTAACTTTTCCATTACAGTATTTTCAAAGTTAAATTAAGTTTATTGCAAAAACTAAAATCCACCAAATACCAAAAAAGTTAGTTTCAACTATAATAATTTTCGAAATCACAAACATTAACTACAGAAATCTTTATATTTTGAAAATTTTGAAAATAAGATGCAACTTTTGATGACCCCACAAAGCACTCTACTAGAACACAGTAAGTACAGTAGTAACGACAGGTATCATAACACCAACTTAACTAAATCAATAGAATTATTTTATAATGACAGTACCTTCTAATGGAGAAACATACAGTAGAGTGCACACAATATAACCATGAAACTTTATTAATACTAAATAGCACAATTTCATGCTAATTCCATTGTTTTCTATTGTTTAATTAGCACTATTTTGTACTATTTAGTAATTAGTGTTTCATGGATTTATTGTTTGCAGTCTACTTGGTAACTTTTGTGCAACATAATATGACACATCACAAGAAAGTACCAGACTTGTTATTTTTATGTTGCTCTACTTTACCGTTTGTAGGTACATCTTCTAAGCCATGTAGTGGTTCCTGGACCAGTATACATGTTGACGCCATGATATCTCTTGGTTGTTATACAGTATGATCAGTCATATCCTGTAATAAAAATACTTCTAGCGAGTCTTTTTCAAAGAACAAGTTAATAGGTTGAGTATTTGTTGGATAGACTTCATAACAACCAACTCTTCCTTGGCATGAGTGTTCGAGTACCTTGATCTTATAATATGCAGTTTAAACCTCCTCATCAGTTTCAACTTTGATTTCTATCGGCACCCCACTGTTATTGGCCAGTTCAGTATTAGTAGCTACAGAGGATCGATACAGGGAGTCGGTCATTGTTCCCACAGATATAAGGCTATCAGGATTCTCTACTTTACCAGTATTGGTACCTTTGGTTGCTTTCTGTATCATGTCCGTTGCTACTGCAACAGATATCATATCGGCATCAACAACATGCTGGCCTGGGACTCTAGTCACTTGTGCTGCTGTTAAAGGGACTGCAGTTGATCGCTGTGGTCCTCCAATGGCTGTTAGAAAGGTATTCATATGTGGGATATTGGATGGGCCATTACTTGTTGCAGCAAGAGTATAATTGTTGGAGTTTACATCTATGGTAGTGTGAGTCTGCACTGTTGATACAACTGTTCTAAGCATGTAGGGATCGATTCCTCTTGGTTGAGTGACGTACATGCCGTAGGCTGCTTGTGATGGATTTTGCTGACCTTGTGAAGCCTCTATGACGATAGTCTTGTTCTGAGCATTTTCGCCAGTTAATTCTTCTGTTCCTTGAGGTGTAGATGATGACTGTCTATCTCTTGCCGACGACGCGAGGGCTGACAGCATGGACGCCATTGGAGTGCTTGTTGAAGGAACGTAGTTACTCAAACTTGCCAGCATTTCTGCAGCAGATGTATTCCTTTTTCTTCCTCTTGTCTTAGGCTTCCCCTTGGTCTGTCCTGGTTGCTCTGTGGCTGCAGGTTTTGGGTCTTCAGCAGGGGTACTATCCACTGGAATAGGAACTTGTACTAATTGTGTAACAGGAGGCAAACCTTGTACTTGAGCACTGGCTTGATTAGCTACTGTATATTTAGGATCAGGTAATCCTTGAAACTGGCCAGCACTTGTGAATGGTACTTGGGTTATAAATGTCATACCAGGTGTCTGTCCTTGTACAGGGGTTATAGGCAGTAGCGTCTGGAAATTATGCAGAACTTGACCTTCTCTTGGAAATCCAGGTAGGTTAGGATATGTTTGTTGTACGCCTTGTACATTACCTTGCGTGCTGGTCACTGGTATTCCAGACAAAAATCCTCCTTGTGCAGTTTGAATTCCAGGAACACCAGACATTGGAATGGTAGTAATGGTTTGATTCCCAGAGCTCTGGATTATTCCTGCTTGTGCAGCACTTCCTGGAACAGGCATACCTGGAAAAATAGCCCCTTGTAGACCAGCCACTTGCATCCCAGGCATCGTAACGCCAGGGAAAAAAGTCCCAGCCGCCATTCCTGGGAGTAGCGTACCCTGTGGCCCAATTACTGGAATTGTTGTTGTTTGAAGTTGAGCATAACTTGCTGGTACAGACACAATATTTGTTGTTGGCACTTGAGGGTTGGGATTATTTGCTATAGAAGCTTGTAAATGAGTTACCATTGTAGGCAAATTTGAAGGCAAATTACTTCCCATCACGCTGCTTGGAGCTGTCTTGTCATCGAGCAAACCACTCGCCGTCATAAGCTCTGAAACGCTTCCTTTGGAAGAATCTCCAGCTGAAGAGGCTTCCGAAGCACTCCTTCCCTGTGTCTGCATGTTCCTAATTCCTTGAAGAACAGCTTCGCTAGCTCCCCGGCTTTGCGAAGAAGTCGAAGCTGCACGTTTACGAACACCAAGTCTTTCGCGCCTTCGCCTTTGCCTTTCGCGATTACCACGTCGGATTATCTCAAGTTGCTCGGACGTCATAACTTCTTTTCTCCTTCGTCTCCATTCTCTGTATCTCGCTCGAAGAGCTTCAACTTGGTCTGGCGTCATTCTTTCTTTCTGCTTTCGTTTGAGCTCGCGTTGTTTTTCACGGCGAACGGTGATTTCTTCTTCGGAGTTGGTACTGGAGCGTTTCCTTCGAGGAATACGAGCTTCATCGCCATCTTCCCGCTTTCTTGATCGGGTTGATCGCTTGGCTTCTCCGGTGTCAGCATAAGCGTTTTCGTGGCTCTCCTCCTCCCCAGCGCCGTTCAAAACCCCACTATTACTGGGATTTTCACCAAATACCTCGATTTCGCTAGCCACAACAAGCACAGCTAGTTGATCAGTGGCTTCAGAAAGCTCGTTACTCGGTGTAGTAAGCTGTCCTCCGTGACAAACTTCAGTAATGGCGTTGTTTGCCGACTCACTAACACCTTGGTTAGCCGTCTCTCCTGGGGAAGAAACATTCACTGGGGTCCTTTTCCTTCGCGAAATCCGCCTCCTAGTTGCTCTAGTCTTTCCTAAACCAGTTTCTGCATGCTCGGAATCAGTTTTTACTTCAATATCGTCCCTGTCATGGCCAGTGTTAGCGTTTTCAAACACCGCTTCAAGGTTGTCTAAGTTCATGTTAACGTTACTACTCGATTCGGACGCCATGGTTGGTTCATCCTGGCGTGACATTTTCAGTTTCATTCGCCTTCTTCGCTGTCTTTCTCGGTTTAATCGACGGATTCTCTCAGGTCTACTTTCCAGGACAGATCCTTGAGTTTCTTCGGTAGTCGTTATCTCTTGCTGCACCTCTAAAACTCCCGAGTCGTCGTTGGGCTTGCTATTCATTTTGACTGTAGTATCGCATATCAAACCAGCACAAGAATAAACAGTAAGCGACGATTTCCTCGACGTCACGCGATAAAACCAAGCTCTTCTAACTCAAAAATACCCGTTAAAAACCAAACAAATGACTTCGAAATTAATATCAACAGCTAGTTTGGTTGTTGGGAGTGGATTTGCAGTTAAAAGAAGCGAGGAATGAAGCGTTTTTCAAGAATGAGGTAGCCATATTTGAACATCAGTCAATCAACTTAGACGACGAGAAACCGAGCCTCGTTCTGGCGTTACACGAGGCGCGCAGAATCCAAGAAATTTCTAACGTAATTTCAACCCAAATTTATCCAAAATTCACGCAAAAAAATCACCCAGAAAACCCAAATACCCCCTCAAAAAACAAAAAGCAAAATATTTAAGCATTCTTAAAGCATTTGAAGTCGTTATCGAATATGTATGAGTTAAAAATATAGCAGTGTGTAGGCCATGAATATAAATTACAGGTTTTTGGAGTGACGGGGGATCAATTTTCTTGGGAACGAGACTAGACTTTATTAATGTGACGATAAAAATGGCATAGAAAAATAGAAAGCGAAAAAACTCGAAAGCTGAAAGGGATAAAGCACACTAAAGTTTGTCTTTCGATTGAAAAATTTAGCATTAAGAGATATCGTTATTTGTATCAGAGGCTAATGTCACGAAATTTATATTCAAAAATGACAGCAGTGGTCACAAAATCTCTACACTAACAACAGGAAACCCATACTAAAATCTACGAAAAAAAAGTAGTTTATTATACAAGAATTAAAGCTTTTGCACCCAAAAAAATATTTCCATTCGATTATTCATTCCTTTTCATAAAGAAGTATCTTTTCTTGCTAGCCTAAAACATATTTTCGACTCCCCTCCTCAAAGCTGTGTAGTATTTTTGAGTAACGCCCACTCATACGTCATACCGTGGTCTGCACACTCGAGTTATTTACAAACACGGATTTTTAAAACAACTTCCCGGCATGAGTTCAAGTTTATTAGTTGCTTCATTATAAGACTTCTAAAAGGAAATATAAATTTGAATTTCAAACAAAACGAATAAATTTTTTACATTATCTTTTTTCCTGCCGGAAAGTTTTTTTTGCCTCAGGAACGCAAAATGAATAATGCGCATGCGCAAGAGACCAAAACACGCCCAGCGCCTCCCCCCATAGACATTCTATACTCTAAACAGACCTGGAAAGATCTCGTCAAGAATAGTAAAGATTATGCTCTACTTTTAGCTCATTTTATGCATTTAAGACTCAAAAATGTCAGTTAGAGGAACACCTAGGGGCTCGGACGAGAACTTAAGTGCTTCGTCGGATAGTTTTTGGGATGTTGGGAACTACAGAAGGACTGTAAAACGCATTGACGATGGAGCAAAGTTATGTGACGAGTTGATGAAGTTGGTAGCCGAGAGAGCTGAGATCGAAGCAAAGTACGCTAACAAGCTGAAAAACTGGGCTAAAAAATGGGAAGAAACTATCAAACTAGGCCCTGAATATAACACTATGGAGGAAGCAATGAAAGGAACAGTGAATGAAGCAAACTCTCGTTCAAACATTCATGTAAAGTGTAAGGAAGACTTGATGAATGATGTGTACGAGTTGGTGAAGAAGTGGAAAAACGAAAACTACCATAAGTCGTTATTCCAATGGAAAGAAACTAAAGATGCTGAAGATGGCTTTGCGAAAGCCCAGAAACCTTGGGCTAAATATCTAATGAAGGTAATGAGAGCAAAAAAGGCCTACCACGGGGCTACAAAAGCGAAAGAACAAGCTGAAAAACAAGTGAGCGATGCGAGTCACGACGTTAGTTTCCCGCAAGAAAAACTTCGAAAGCTCGAAGATGGAGTTGAAAAAAAGAAAGATGACATGGAGAAAGCTAAAGCTAAATATGAAAGACGACTTGAGGAAATAACTAATGAATACAACGATACATATGCAGAAGGAATGACCCGACAGTTTCAAAAGTGCCAAGAATTTGAAGAGAAAAGACTAGAATTTTTCAAAGAGGCTTTGATGAAATATCATCGTTGCTTGAATATTGCAGACAATCCTGAGTGAGTATTTATTTATTTTCTCTTATTTTAACCTATTAAAAATTAAATTTTATTAACCAAATTTGTTCTATAACGGTGTGGTTAATCGTTGATAAAAATGGAGACTGATTGCCACGAGAAGGGCTCAAAACTACAGCGTCTTCACTCTTAATTTTCGATTTTACTCACTATAAGATGTATTTTAAATTAGTTTTTAAATCCAATCATTATGCATCAATGAATTTAAAGAATTTCCAAAAAATTTCAAGACTATAAATGATTCATCTATACGAATCTAACTTGGGTTTAAATTTTAAAATATATCCTGAGGTAGAGAGCTCGCGGCACTGAATTTATTTAACAAATATGTGTGATTCAAAATATCAAGCTTGTTCACTATCAAAACTATAAATCCTGCATAAATAAATATCGCTCATAATCTGATCATCCTTGTAAATCCTAATGATAATTTATGAGTTTTATGATTAAATATTAATGTTAATTGTTTAAGTAATTAGTATTTTTGAACAAATATTCATCGTGTTATTGATAGACTGATTGTTGCGAAGTTTAGATTTCAGTATTGATTTTGAGATTTAAATCCTCGAAGGGTATGATTTACAGTAAAATATGTTTGTTAAAACTGATAAGTATTAATATTATCAATTATTCATTGCTAATTTGATTCAGGTTATAAGGAGTTGAAAATCTGTTACATTTGTGAAATGATTTGTTTTGATATTGCACGACAGAGTTAAAGCACAGATCAATTACCTATTTCAGGTTTTATCTGTGAGTAAGCCATTCCCTGACTTAGATCAGCCCAAAGGTTGTTTCAGGGTTCGATCTGTGAGTTGGCCATGCCCTGACTTAGATCAACCCAGAGGTTGACTCAGGGTTCTATCCATGATTTAGCAATGCCCTGACTTAGTTCAGCCCAGAGGTAGTTTCAGGGTTCAATCTGTGAGTTAGCCATGTCCTGACTTAGATCAGCCCAGAGGTTGTTTGAGGGTTCTATCTCTGAGTTAGCCATGCCCTGACTTAGAT